ATAAACAGGTGCCATATTTGACAGAAATATTAGGTCCCTTTGTTAGTGGGAGCTGATGTTATTTAATGGAATGTCATCTTTGTCTGATTCATTTCGTGTTTAATAACATGAAGCCCTGAAAATCTTGTTTATGTGTTCAGGTGTAACGGCTCTCTGCCCAGCGGTGAAAAGGGGCGGCGGAAAAGTCGCTTTGCTTTGTGTCGCAGGAACAGGGCCAACGGTGTGAGACCCAGCACTGTCCACACATCCTGCACACCGCAGGCCGCCAAGGTAAGCGCACACACACACACGTGCAGTATGTCTACATCAAGCTGCAGAATGGTCTTCTACCTTAATAAGAGTAAACATTAACTCTTGTTGTCTTCTTGCTTGAAAAACGATCCACTTTGTGTCTTCAAAGGCCATCAGCAGCAAGGAGCTGCACAGTATATCTTTCACTCTGTCTCGGGTGCAGACGGTAGTGGTGGAGTACACACATGACAACAGCACGGACATGTTCCAGGTGTGTAACCTCCAGTTCATCTGTCCTACGTAGCAACAGATTTAAATTTGTTCTGGTCATTTTGTTTTCAGCATTAATTTTAGTCTAGATCAGGGCTATTCAACTGGCGGCCCGCGGGCCGGAACTTCAGTCCAGCTCACCAATGAGTTCATAAGTGTTTTTATTTTGGGGGTGTTCTGGGTTTGTGTTCTGTTTATTGCATTTATGACTCAGTGCAACAAAATAAACACATTTAAAAGGTAACGTATCATTGTAATACTTGGTTTATTTACACGATGGCTTTAGTTGCTAAATGTCCGGCCCCTGAGCTGCTGGCTTTCAGTAACTGTGGCCCCCCTGAGCAGTTTAGATGAATAGTCCTGCTCTAGATTCTACCTGATGTCCAGCATAGCCTGCATCTGTTCTCCCTCCAGTGGTATCCGTTACTAATTATCAGCTGTCTGTACATTATTATTATAATATCTGATTATTGGTGAAGCTTGGTGACATCACATGTTTAAAATGACATGTTTGTGTAACTGGGCTGCACGGTGGCTCAGTTGTAGAGCCGCTGCCGCTCTGCGAGCAGGTCACCGGATTGAATCCTGGCTGGGGACCTTTCTGGGTGGAGTTTTCATGTTCTCTCCATGCTGTGTGGGTTTTCTCCGGGTACCCCAGTTTCCTCCCACAGACCAAAAACATGCATGTTAGACTGATTGGTAACTCTAAATTGTTGTTAAGTGAGAGAGAGTGAATGGTTGTTTGTCTCGTTTGTCTCCGTGTCCCTGTGATGGACTGGAGACCTGTTCAGGGTGTCCCTCGCCTCTCACAGCTGGATATGGACACCAGTGGCCTGAAAAGGAAGATGCAGACAAAGATGATGGATGGATGGGTGGGTGGGTGGGTGGATGGATGGATGGATGGATGGATGGATAAAGAATATATGGATGGATGAAGAATATATGGATGGATGGGTGAATATATGGATGGGTGAATATATGGATGGATGGATGGATGGATGGATGGATGGATGGATGGTGGGTGGGTGGATGGATGGATGGATGGATGGATGGATGGAT